ATGACCTGCAGTCTTGGCACTATGCTAAATCTTTCTTTACAAGCATTTAAGTTGTGGTTCAGCCCACTGAAAATCCTCTGGCAAGCCAGGTCAGTTTATTAAAAGTAAACATTGTTTTAAACACAATAAATATTGCAACTTATTATGACATGTCGTTAAAAAGGTTTCTTCGAAGAAACTGCGGTTCAAAGCGTTTAATCACAGACGCTCAACATTTACAGATGTAACAGAAACTTTTTTGGTAGATACAGAGAGGGGGGCTTTGCCATGCTAGCTCGCACAATCAAAGAAAACAAACAGGAGCTGCTGCTTTGCCTGTGGCTGGTGTTTGAGCGGAACATAAAAAAGAAAACCTAGGGAGTGGGAAGTCAGTGTTACACTTTCTTCCCCACACAGAGAGGTTCTTAGATGATTTACACTGCTATGCAAATAAATAACGTTGCTCATTACAATAAATACATTTAGTTATAGGGAATACATGCATCTATCAAGAACGTAAAGGTTATAAAATTGTACTGACAAATAGATTTTTATTACAAAAAATGCCTTGTACGAACTCCGCCTGCCAGTGATCACGTCAGAGTCATAAGCCCAGTTCCACTAATCATTATTTGTCATAATAACAATGGATCAAATAATTATATGTAATGTGAAATAGGTCGTTTGTAGTGACAAACCCTCACAGAATTACCAACCAATTTTGCAGCACCCCTCAGCTCTCTATTGTGGATCGTTTGTTTTTTTTTTTCAGCTGTAGCAGACAGCTGCAAAAGACGCTCTGATAAACCCACTGTTCACTACAGCACACTGCAAGTCTGTCAGCCTCACATCTGTGTACTATAAAGTCATTCTTGTTTATTTAAGTCAAGTGAAGTTACAAGTGCAAATCCAAATTTTTGTATTGTATTCTTAGAAATAACACATCTTATATATCAGTAAATTATCAGCTCAGTGTTAAGAAGGCTTTATGTGTGGCTGTATCCACTGTTGGTTCCCAGAGTCTCATTATTACGTAGCCTGAAGCGTGCTTGGTACACCACGGACCACTCTGCATCCTGCCAACTGGCCACTCAACTGTTCCAGACAGCTGCTCCACATTTAAGTGATAAAAATTAACAAGAAACTACAGTATGTCCTATAAAGATGTCAGTAACGTTTTAGTGTTGCCCATTCTTAATATGTTTGTGACAAGATGAACTTTTCACTCTTTTGAATTCACTTGTCTGGCGTTGGTGCACAGCCTGGAGAAAGTTCATCACAAACGCTTTGCACTCTTGGGGGTTAAAGATCTGTCTCTTGCTACATTTAATGATTCAAGGGGAGCTTTATGAACTATTCACCATATATGAAAAGCGGTAGGCACTGTCTAAGAGTACCAATAAGTTATGACTCATGAGTGGTGTAGGTTTTGTCCCACATGGGCGGTGCACAAAAAGCAAAGAAAGGAAAGACTCAAAATAAATCACTGCTTGAGGGCTACATATATCAAACTCCATAGTTCGTTCAAATGTGTTTTGTCCACTATATATAAGTTATAAATGTGCATTTGGACTTTGACAGTAAGGTACTGTTTGAGAAATGTAATACATTACTCTCTGCACAGACAAGTGGCAGTTGTTGAACTATACCATAATGGAATTTCTTATTTGAAAAACTGAGGGCAAAAGCAAGGTCATTCACGTTTCCTTGTTTTGTATTTCCTAGAAAGTCAGGTCAGTTTTTTTTGAAAGGCGGATGTCATAGTTGAGACGGTGTTGGTTTGACTTAGCAGGTGGACACATCAGGTCGATGTTTTACTGTAATTCTCTTCCCTTCTGTTAACGTCAACAGTTTTCATAAAGCTTCAAACCCCTTATGCACCATACTGTCAAAAGTTTATCAAACCATCTTGGTGTTGCAGGTGAATCTTTACACTTTGACACACTTGACTCTCCTTTACGGAAATGTCAGTAAAACATAATTAATTTCTGTTTCATGTATGGCAGTGTCTTCCGATTTTAATTTCTCTTTTAAATTAACGTGGCCCCACTGGAGCCTTTTGTCTCTACTTTCAGAGGCATCAGTGCAGGAAGAGACTCACTGCACCGCAGCCTCGTGACCAACGGTAGTTGTTGATAAGATGCTGTGGAAGAGTTTCAGTGCCCTCTGTTTCACTTTTGTGAAGACACGTTGATATTACTAGTTTTATGTGTTTGGTTGAGGTCTTGAAGTGCAGAAGTTGTCCACCTAAAAATGCTTATTTTCTGTCTTAAACCGGAGGATGTCAAACAAAATGTGAATGAATAATTCATATGGTTAGTGAATTTACAAGCCAGTGCTGCCAATTTACTATGTAAAAAAAATGAGACAATTTAAATTTTAAAACTGGAGATGAAGGGGCTGTTCTACATCAAGAATTATAATTATTTAATTGATTAAAATAGAGCCTTTGTAGAATAAATTTGGGATTAAAACATGGATCCTTTGAATGTGAGATCAATTATCCTTACATTTCCCCTCATGCATCATTCTTATTTCCTATAAACCCAGGCTGCAGGGAAGCATTTAATAGAACCTCTCTGCATTTGTGTTTCGATGTTTGTTGTGATCGATTGGCACACTTCCCTGCTGGATGTCAACCATTAACATAATAGCCAACCAAATCACTATTACAGAAAAATGACCATGCACTACTTGAGCTACTTCAGGAAAACAATAGCTTTCAATATGCTGTATCACTCATGTTAAATTAGGCCCATAAACTGAGGTTGGTATTGTGTGTAAAGGCAAATATACCTGCAGAAAATATTGTGACAACATGCAATAAGACGGCAAAAAAGCAATAAAGGTTTCTTTGCTGAGGCTTTTTTGGTTCAGGCTCATCGTTCACTTAGAACAGTGAAAAATAAGGCAGCTTATGCTTCAGTGGTTTTTGCCACATTGTTAGCATACAATTAAGACAATAACCACAGTTTTAATACTGTGGCCAGTCTCCATAACCTCCCAAACAGACACACAAACAAGTCGATTCTTCTTGCTTCCCTTATAAACATGCTGATATCACTGTGAGGAATATATATTTAGGGAAACATGTCGTCCTGGGAAAAATGGTAAATGTGTCGCTTCATTCACTCCCCATGCATTGATTTCACTCTGGTTTCAAAAAGACAGCTGATTATGAAAACTGAAGAAATGTCTGAGGTATCCATTACTCAAAACAGCTCAGACGTTGTGATAGTCCAAAGCCTGATCTCTTTCATCTTGTTCATAATTCCTGGGGTTATTATGAGTTGAATATTAGAGGCTGCCACTGTTCTCCCCCCTCTGCACAGTGCACTAACACTAAATGGAGTCATTGTAATTATAGCTTTCATGCATGGGAAGGTACATTTTCTGAGGTAATTTGAAGGGCTCCAAGAAAATAAAAAATAAAAAATCATCGTTGTGACTGACAAGAGAAGGATGGAAAATATCTTACTTACTTACTCTGCCCAAAACACCTCTGTCACAAAACCACAGTATAAAAATTTGTATTGATGGTATTATCAAAGCTATTAACAGTAGAGGGAGCTTCAGTTATGCAAATTAGAATTGTGTTTGTGACAAGATGAACTTTTCACTCCCCCTCTTTTAATGCTGCTTGTCATGGAACATTGGTTGTTGACTCATTTCCAACACGGTGAAATGTCCCTTGTAACCTCTGGAAACCAGTTTCCTGGCTCTCTGTCACAGCTAGTCCTCCAAATAGAAATGTGTCCCAACTCCTTCTCTCTCAAACCACTCTGATAAACAACTTATCTCCTCAGGTAGATAATAACCAAAGATGAAAAGGGAACTCTCACAGAACCTAGAATGACTTTATGGAACATCAAGGCTCCCTTCCTGATTCTAAACAAAAGGCCAGGAAATAGTATAAAGCTTATTCCAGTGTAAAAACTGAAGCAAACCTTTTTGAGGTTCAGTCACTCACCCCATTTAATTTCAATCGAGCAGCTCCAGACAGTGCATCTTGATAACATCACAGACTGCAATCTTGGCTCTGTGGTCTGTGAGATAAGATTTTAAGATAAGATATCATGAGACTGTATTGATCCCCATGGGGAAATTAATAAAAAAAAGTATAACAATTCGGCAACAGAAAGTGTTATATAGGATTCAGAAGAATAGAATCAGATACTTTATATATAGGAAATAAACTCAAAACTTTAAAATAACATCAGCAATAAAACAACAAATAAAAACACAGACACACACAAAAAAAAAAAAATATATATATATATATATATATATACAGAATAGGTTGAATACTTATCACCACTTTATCTTACTGGAATTATTTTGTAAAATGTTAAGTAAAATGTAAGTGCATGTTTTCTGAAATACTGACAAAAGCTGACTGCTTGGTTTAAGGTTTTTTTTTTAATGCTATTTTAGTGAATATCCACCAGGAAGTTTTGCTAATGTTATATTCATAATCTGTCATTTGCAATAATGCAGTGGCACCATGCCAACATGTCACCTCAGAGAAATGTATGTCATTTCCATGGCTACGGCTGTACAGTCTTATGTAGGCTAAGTCAAAGGGCTTAGAGCAGCATAATACTGGGGGCTACAGCTCTAAAACAAACTTTGTAAGCCCCCTGTGTCCCTGTGTGTCTCTGCTTGTGTGTCTGTGTGAAAGCTCCCACATAGTTGTTGCAGTTTGCCTCCCTTAATGAAATAATATAAAGTATCCTTAATATTCCCCAAAAGGGACTTGATGATAATGTCTCAATTGTATTTTGTGGATTTTTCTTTTTTTTCTTAAAAAACTATTACATTTTTACACGCATAAATGATGATTAATAATGATGCTCCTTGATATTTTAGTTGTCTGCGATATCTTTATAGTATCAGACTAAAATCTTTTTCAGAGTTTTCCTGTGGGATAAACCTGCGTCACCATCAGTGAGCTCCATTTTCACCACATGCTCAGACTGCTCATTTCCTTATGGGAAATAAATAGGGGGTGGTTCTCCAGTCGATATCTTTAATTGCTCCTGGGTTGTATCAATACCTACCGGTTTTACTGCTCCATCACGAGCCACTGGGAACGGGTTGCCCGGGAAACGGCCGCATGGCAACAGGATCAGAGCCTGGGGGTTGTCTGCTTCTAGGTCTGCTCCCATTTTACATCGCATTTCCTCACTAGATGGTGTGCAAGCCACTGGAGAGTACACTTCCCCGCACAGTAGTGGGCTCTACATCCAGCAAAACAAACCTGGGAAACTATACGGCGGACCATTTCTTTACGGGGCTCCGAGGAGGAAAAGTGTGGAAATAAAGCGTCGTTCGCGTCAAGGTTTTCATTTTTTAAGCTAACCCCCCTGTTTTTAGCATCAAGAAGACTTGGGAAAAGGCGACAACAAAACACAGCTGTGATGGACATAATGATTGCGGTGCAGGATGCTTGTGTCTCTGGTCAGTGGCTTACTGCGATAATTCTCAGCCTGTGCTGCTTTCTGCCGTCCTGTTTGCCCGCTGGACAAACTGTGGACTATTCCTCGGTTGAAAGTGTGGTCAGCAGACAAGGCGACACGGCTCTACTGAGGTAAAACAAGCTAACACAACTTCACTTTCTCCCGCTCCACACTCTCACTCTGTCGGAGTTCTCCGAAGCTGAAGACTCGACCGCACACACTCTTTAACACCAGTTCATTGTTTTAAAGATGTCTGTTAGCTACTTTTGAATCAGTCGGGGTTGTCATTTAGCGCCCAGCGCTAAACACAATAGGTCATTTTCCCTCCATCCCGTCCTTGTTTTCGCCTGACAGCGGGCTGAAGAGGGGAGGGGGGCGGTCAGTGCAGCGGTCGCTACACAGGACGCTGCTCTTGCGACAAGTGTAGCTCGACTGATAACGGCAAAGTTTTTTGAGATACTTTCCCTATGCGTACATCAGCCAATAGACATAATGTGTTATTTTTGGGTGTATTTGATTTCATAGCTGCTCGTAAATGGGACGGTATCGCCTGAATTACCAAATAAGCCCACCACAGTCTGTCGCTTATGTAATTTGATTTCGTTATGTCCGTTGATTCCCACTGTTGCAAACGCCACGAGTGCTTAACAAGGAGTTTAATAGCCTAAAAAAAATCAGAGCCCAATGTGCTATTTGGAGTGCTGTTCATCTGTTTTGCTGAATGCACAATGTGATGTCGCAGTTTCAAAACGAGGCTGAAGAGTGTATGTGTGGTCGCTGTTGATCAGCCGTCGAGTTATGGCAATCTCCCCATCCTCCCCCATCCTCCCTCCATCACGTAGGCTACGATGCCAGCTGCACAGGTAGCTGCCCATTAAGGGACTACATTAATTGGCATGGGCGTAGTATGGACCAGCGCACTCAGGAGCTTGTAACAGCAACATTATATTATTTATTTCAGCATATAATCAAAAATATCATCAAAATAGTCCTACTGCCAAAATTGCCTATAGTTTAAACAATGTAGTTCTTTTCAAAAGATGATTACTGTATAAGTTTTAGATGGACTAAAATCTTTTAGACAATTACACAAGTCTGTGTGGTCTATTTCAGTATTTCATAAAATTCAAAACACATGTACACAGAAATAGAAAAAAAGATGTGTAATCTTTTGAGGGCTCTGATATTATCTTGTTGTACTGATATCAAATATCCGCTTTGATGGCTGAGGAAAGGCTGAGGGGGGCAGGCCTTCCCCATTTCAATATGAATTCTGAGGATGCTGACGCTAAGAGATGCTGGGTGTGGACCTGAATACAGAGAAGCTAACTGTCTAAAGTTCCACTCAGCTTGGCCTTTAGTCACTGTTGTCTCATACTTGATTGTCGAAGAGCTGAATTATTTCTGTGACATAAGGTCATCGTGAGTGGCTGTATTGAGATGGGTGTCTTATTATGAGGTTGTGTCAGTGCTCATCACAGAATTACCTTGGCAACAGAAGAGGGGTACTCACTTTTTTTTTTTTTTTTTTACCACATTCCGTCCATGCCCAAGGGCCGTCCCATCAAATAGACTCACACCTTTGACTGTCTCTTTAGAGAGGGCATTTAATTCCCTGATGTCAATCTCGGTTGGCTCTGATCAGTGGCAGAAGCTTTGCCTGAATCCTGATGGTTTATTGGACCACAGATTATCTCTGTGCTATAAATCAGCTCAATAAACAAGTTGCCTCCCACCCAATGAATATGGCAACACTCTCCATAAGCGGGTCATCGCCTTAGTAAATGCCATCTAGAAATCTAGGAAATGGATAGGGAAAACATATTCAAGATGCTTTCATTGCCTGTCTCTTATATTCATTTAATGGGTTTTTTCGGCACTCGCTGTAACCATTCACTGGCTTTTTTTCACTCATGTGAATGCTGCCAGTGTCAAGTTATCACTTTGCTATGCTTGCACCTGTTGACCTAATAGAGATTGTAAACCTCTTCAACTGCTCTTCTTGTTTCTCTGGTTTGCATCTAATTGCAAAACACTGTCATCACCAAAGTGATGACAAAGGCCCACTCTGTCTTTTTTCTTCCTCTCTGTTTTTTTTCATTGGTCTTGAGAGCCAGGCATCAAAGCATGAACCATTTCTTTTAGGAAGTCAGTGCAGAAAACAGTGCCTGTTTGTTGAATTTCTCTGTTGTCAAGACCCCTGACTATTAGAGGCCAATTTTGCTGTGCCCCAAAGCTGATTGATGGCTAAAAAATGTGAGCATTCTCAAATACTGACAAACCCAGAAGCACGCAATTAGTCACTGCCTTTGGATTATGGAGTAGATCCCGAGAGGTGCGCCTGTTGTCATATATTCATTTCCCCCACCTCTTCAGTTCTTAGCGCTGCATTACTGCTGCCCTGATTCATGTTGGACAGTGGGTCCACATCAATTAAATGATTTGAGCTTCTTGAAAATGAGGAATGGCGCACATGTGTATCATCATCCTTTTAATCTTGTTTGATTACCTAAAAGCTCTGCCATTTTCATCCCCTAACAAAAGAGCCCTTGTATTTGAAATTAGTTTGCTGCTGCATCAAAGCATCTTACATGGTACGTTAATGTTATGCACATATGCTGCATTTTGTTTTTACATACCGAAAATCAGCAAGCTTCCATGGGGAGCACATTGTTCAGAGGAGCTATACACCCCTTTTCTTTCCCATCTTGTTACAGGTTTCATGTCATTTGGATTCAGTTGAATAAACCTTGACTCTTCCCAGTAAATGACTCATCCGGTCATGAATTTAGGGGGAACAGCAAGATGAAAAGACAGTTCCCTATGCTGTCAGGAAACACACGGTATCAGTGGCAGCCTCTTCCACATGGATAAGCAGCTGTAATCAACAGCAAAGAGCTAGTGTCAGCTAAACATAGGCTTCCACCATACAGTTACTATTTGCAGTGCTATTCTTAAAGTATCTTTTATATTTTTATCTTGGTGCTCTGTGCTTTGTCCATCAACCACTGTATTCCTGTTTTCCCAGTGAAATATGTATCATATGGTGAGAAATAGACTAAAGGAACACTGTCATTTTACATTCTACGAAGGCAGAAAATAGGAACAATGCGAATAAATAGGAGCAAGGCTGTACACAGCAAGAATAAGACAACGATCCTAGCTTATTTTTGTTATTTAGTTTGACAGTTGGCCCTCAGCCACAAAATAAGGTCTGCACCACAGGCCTTAGTCTCTGTAATGGTGCAAAATTGACCTGTCACTACTTTGAAAGTCTGGTATTCATATAAATCTAAAATCATTGCCTCATGTCAACAGACCAGTTGATGAAAATCTTTTCTGGCTGGACATGATTGTACTGGAGCTGTGTTTCTAGCCTTATTCAGGACAAAAATGGTGCCATGTATCATTTCCCTCAACTGTGTCATTATTATGGCTCTGAAAGGTCTTGACATTTACTATAAGCACTTGTGCCAGAGACAACATCGAGTTTAAATGGCTTGGTGGCCCCACCCCAGCACAGATACTGGTCAGACAGAGTAGAGGAATATCAAACTCCAAAGGATGCAATTTAAAGGAGGAATTGTTGACTATCTCCATAACGGAGACAATAACCATAGCTGAGAAGCACCCTCTACACTTTCTGCATTTCAGCACTTTTTTAATTAGGCCGCAGCCAGTTCTGTTAAAAAGTATATGCAAGGCTACTTCATCTTCAACAGCTTGGTTGGAGATGTAGCAGATATAGAGGGCTCTGAATACATCAATTATCTGCCAGATATCTGCAGTTTCATGCACTCATTTGGGGGAAAACCTGGTTTACCTGACACATCTGGGGGCACACCTGAGTCTGTCACTATTAATTAAACGCCAAAATCCTCTCCCCTGTTTGCTGAACCACATGTTTAATGCGATCAGTGTTGCTGTCAGCACAATGTTGCTCTCTTTCACGGTCCTTATGCTCATCATGGTCTCCACATCTCAGGATCAACTAAGTGTTAGGCACATCATTTGACCTCAATTTTTGGCTTGTGAATAGACACTATCATGATGCAAAACAAAAGGCGTCAAGGTGTGGTCGTTGTTGGGGAGGGGCTTCCAGCTGGAGCTATCCATGCACACATAATACTACTGGTGAAAAACCCATACTGCCTTATGTCAAAAAATCTGACCTTTCCTTTTTAACAGTAGAAAGCAGGCATGTTGCTCATATAAGTCTATCTCCTATTGCCCAAGGGAAGCTGGCTATACTAAAGTATTCATCAGATTCATTATTCTGGCATCCATTTGTAATAGATGTGCTTTAGTACAGATGGAAATCAGCCGACAAGGTGACATGCCAAAGCAATGGCTAAGAAGACTTTCATAACAGCTGCCTACTTTTAGACCTCCAGTTAACCTCCTCCACGGTATTCAATTGAAACTCAGTCTGTCATGACTTGTTTTAAATTGTCATTCAGCTTGTTGCTGAAAGCAGCATAATCTCTTTTAGATGGAAATTTACAAAGTTGCAAAGCTATTTATATAAGTAAGTGTTATCCAAAACAACCCTGTAGTCAATTTTAATATCAAGGCTTGTAATAAACACTTGTCTGAAAAGTGGTACTCATTCGTCACCCAATGACAAGAAATTATCTCAGATATGTGCACCTTTTAGTTTGTTGTGTCAAGTAAAACATATCCAGTCAATGTTGAAGGCCACAACTCATGAGATAAATCAAATGGTTTTTGTAGATTAACAGTTTAGCCTTGGTTAGCCAGTCGGACATATGTGTTAAAGTGCACTCATGGCTTTTAAAGAAAAATGCAAACTTAGGTCTGAGGGTTTTTTTTCTTGCTTCCTACTGTAGATAATGTAACATATTCTTGGATGCTGCCAGAGCTTTTTAGTTACATGCCATGATTTATCGCTCTATTTTGTAACTATGTAGTGACGCTAACACAGAATAAAAGCCTGATTTGCACACTGTAAACCAATTCAAAATGGATTACATTTATGGTCATCATTTGTCAGGCGAATCAATCCATTGTGCTTTCTAAAAATTGGGCATTTCTATTTCTAATATATTTCAATTAGCACTAAAGTGATTTAGTGCCTTGGTGAATTAAAGCCTAAATGGAAATGCTTTCT